ACGACAACAGCAACGACAACAGCAACGACAACAGCAACGACAACAGCAACGACAACAGCAACGACAACAGCAACGACAACAGCAACGACAACAGCAACGACAACAGCAACGACAACAGCAACGACAACAGCAACGACAACAGCAACGACAACAGCAACGACAACAGCAACGACAACAGCAACGACAACAGCAACGACAACAGCAACGACAACAGCAACGACAACAGCAACGACAACAGCAACGACAACAGCAACGACAACAGCAACGACAACAGCAACGACAACAGCAACGACAACAGCAACGACAACAGCAACGACAACAGCAACGACAACAGCAACGACAACAGCAACGACAACAGCAACGACAACAGCAACGACAACAGCAACGACAACAGCAACGACAACAGCAACGACAACAGCAACGACAACAGCAACGACAACAGCAACGACAACAGCAACGACAACAGCAACGACAACAGCAACGACAACAGCAACGACAACAGCAACGACAACAGCAACGACAACAGCAACGACAACAGCAACGACAACAGCAACGACAACAGCAACGACAACAGCAACGACAACAGCAACGACAACAGCAACGACAACAGCAACGACAACAGCAACGACAACAGCAACGACAACAGCAACGACAACAGCAACGACAACAGCAACGACAACAGCAACGACAACAGCAACGACAACAGCAACGACAACAGCAACGACAACAGCAACGACAACAGCAACGACAACAGCAACGACAACAGCAACGACAACAGCAACGACAACAGCAACGACAACAGCAACGACAACAGCAACGACAACAGCAACGACAACAGCAACGACAACAGCAACGACAACAGCAACGACAACAGCAACGACAACAGCAACGACAACAGCAACGACAACAGCAACGACAACAGCAACGACAACAGCAACGACAACAGCAACGACAACAGCAACGACAACAGCAACGACAACAGCAACGACAACAGCAACGACAACAGCAACGACAACAGCAACGACAACAGCAACGACAACAGCAACGACAACAGCAACGACAACAGCAACGACAACAGCAACGACAACAGCAACGACAACAGCAACGACAACAGCAACGACAACAGCAACGACAACAGCAACGACAACAGCAACGACAACAGCAACGACAACAGCAACGACAACAGCAACGACAACAGCAACGACAACAGCAACGACAACAGCAACGACAACAGCAACGACAACAGCAACGACAACAGCAACGACAACAGCAACGACAACAGCAACGACAACAGCAACGACAACAGCAACGACAACAGCAACGACAACAGCAACGACAACAGCAACGACAACAGCAACGACAACAGCAACGACAACAGCAACGACAACAGCAACGACAACAGCAACGACAACAGCAACGACAACAGCAACGACAACAGCAACGACAACAGCAACGACAACAGCAACGACAACAGCAACGACAACAGCAACGACAACAGCAACGACAACAGCAACGACAACAGCAACGACAACAGCAACGACAACAGCAACGACAACAGCAACGACAACAGCAACGACAACAGCAACGACAACAGCAACGACAACAGCAACGACAACAGCAACGACAACAGCAACGACAACAGCAACGACAACAGCAACGACAACAGCAACGACAACAGCAACGACAACAGCAACGACAACAGCAACGACAACAGCAACGACAACAGCAACGACAACAGCAACGACAACAGCAACGACAACAGCAACGACAACAGCAACGACAACAGCAACGACAACAGCAACGACAACAGCAACGACAACAGCAACGACAACAGCAACGACAACAGCAACGACAACAGCAACGACAACAGCAACGACAACAGCAACGACAACAGCAACGACAACAGCAACGACAACAGCAACGACAACAGCAACGACAACAGCAACGACAACAGCAACGACAACAGCAACGACAACAGCAACGACAACAGCAACGACAACAGCAACGACAACAGCAACGACAACAGCAACGACAACAGCAACGACAACAGCAACGACAACAGCAACGACAACAGCAACGACAACAGCAACGACAACAGCAACGACAACAGCAACGACAACAGCAACGACAACAGCAACGACAACAGCAACGACAACAGCAACGACAACAGCAACGACAACAGCAACGACAACAGCAACGACAACAGCAACGACAACAGCAACGACAACAGCAACGACAACAGCAACGACAACAGCAACGACAACAGCAACGACAACAGCAACGACAACAGCAACGACAACAGCAACGACAACAGCAACGACAACAGCAACGACAACAGCAACGACAACAGCAACGACAACAGCAACGACAACAGCAACGACAACAGCAACGACAACAGCAACGACAACAGCAACGACAACAGCAACGACAACAGCAACGACAACAGCAACGACAACAGCAACGACAACAGCAACGACAACAGCAACGACAACAGCAACGA